ACGTGTGCGTGTTTAGCCTGCGTGGACACCAACAGTGCCTTCTTGCAAGCTGTGCGGTGCAGCCTATGTGACTGACTGGATGTGGTGCAATCTGGGTGGCGCAGTCCATGTGGTGCAATCCATGTTGCGCAAAGCAGTGCGAAGAAATGCAAAGCAGTGCAAAGCCATGCAAACAAGTGCAACAGAAATTCAAAGCAATGCCAGGCAATGCAATGTGATGCAATGCTATGTGATGCAAGGCGATCTCTTTACAGCACCACAACGCAAAGCAATGCAACTCAACGCAAAACTTCACAATGTAACGCAATGCAGAGCAACGCAAAGATACGAAAAGCTACGCAAAGCTACGCAAAGCAATGCAAAGAGATGCAATGCAACGCAAGGCAATGCAAAGCAATCCAATGCAGTGCAAAGCAATGCAACGCAGTGCGATACAACGCAGCGCAATGCGACGCAAAGCAGTGTAGAGCCATGCAGAGCAGTGCAGAGCGATGCAAGGATATCGCTCTGCCGCGCGATGGGACTGCAGCGACGCGCAACTGCGGAGCAATGCGAAGCAGTGCCTTGCGAAGAGGTCGCAATGCAACGCCGTGCGACTGCCGTGCAACGCGACTGCCATACGACGATGGGGGGCGGGGGCCACGGAGCGGCGGCGACGGACGCAAACACGGTGCCCACGGGCCCCCTGCCGGGCAAACACGGCGCTGCGGCCAGGGGCAAGGGCTCCCAACTTCGCGCTTCGCGCTGCGCGAAGCGCGAATACCTTCGCGCTCTCGCGCCGCCTCCCAGGGGAGAAGAGGAGGACAAGCAGGAATCGGAGCCGAACCGCGAGGCGCGAAGCGCGAAAAACTTCGCACCCTCGAGGTCGCCCTGGATGGGACGGGCACGGGGCCGCCGAGGCCGCGAGCGGACCCAGCCCCGTCGGAGCGGCGCAAAGAAACCCCAGAGTGCAAGCATTCTTTGTCGTCGGCGGCGCGGCACGAGGCAGTGCGCGCGCCGGCGCGGGGGGCGAACTCGAAGGCCACCGGTCGGCATAGCGTCTGGCGCGCAAGAGAGAGAAAGAGAGAGAGAGACGAAGACAAGAGCCCTCAGTGCAAGCACGGCTTGGGGAATATATACACGTCGTTCATTTCTAATCGCACTCATTTCTGATTGTGCTCGTTTCTAATTGTTCCTGGCCCCTTAGTGGCCAGGACGAGGCCCAGGATAGAACAATTAGATATGAAAGGATCTTGGCCCCCCGAAAAATCGAAGAACTTTCGAATAATCTAAAACGAACCATGTGTACGGCAGGTTCCCTGGAAAACAGACCGGCCCTGGGCGCACGTCGGCCACCCCGGCGCTCTGTCCCTGCACTGTCTCTGCTCTGCTTCCGTTGCTGAAGGACGAGTGGGGAGAAGGATGAGGGTGGGTGGGGAGAAGGATGAGGAAGAGGGAGGAGGATGGAAAAGGAGGAGGAGGAGGAGGAGGAGGGTGGAGAATGGGGGGCGGAGTGGGACGACTGGGAGGGACTTTATGACTGCCTGACACACCGCTAACCCGGCGGGATCCCCGGGATAGATTGAAGCCACATTACATCAAGACGCTAGTGCGTCCCTCATCGCACACGAGCGTTGGTCAGCGAAAGCACCTCTCCAGGAGAGCCTGCAGCGGGAGCCCGGAGAGTTCAGTTGGGAGGGGCTCGAGGTATACACGAAGCAGTCTGGTCGGCCTAGAAGCCCTGTGTAGTACGTGCACGCCCCAGCTTCCCAAGTTCTCGGGTGCTGGAGCGTCTATGCACCTAACTTCTTCGCTTCAACCCCTTGCCCCTTGGCCCACCAGATGATGTGGCTAGAGGAAGAAAACCTGCCCAAGCATTGATGGACCTTTTTCCCACCACCACCACCACCACCACCATGAGTTGGAGGGGGGAAGGAGGAGGAGGACGAGGACGAGGAGGAGGAGGCGGAGGAGGAGGAGGAGGAGGACCCCCTCCCCCTCCAACTTATGGTGGTGGTGGTGGAGAACCTGCCCAAGCATTAATGTTCGGAGTTCCGCGCGGCTGTCGAGGCTGGACCCCGCCCCCGTGCCGCACGCTGCGCCCACGGGTCGCGCGGGAGACACAAGGAGACGCCGCCTCCGAGAGATGTCCGCGCGGAGCTCCGAAGGTTGCTGTGCTTATGCAAGTGGTGTGTTCTTCCTCGAGTGGTGCATACATCAAGCTGATGGGCCTGTTTTCCACCACCACCACCACCATAAGTTGGAGGGGAGGGTGTCCTCCTCCTCCTCCTCCTTCACCTCCTCCTCCTCCTCTTCTTCCTCCTCCTCCTCCTCCTCCAACTCTTCGTCCTCCTCCTCCTCCTCCTCCTCCTCCTCCTCTTCCTCCTCCTCCTCTTCCTCCTCCTCCTCCTTCCCCCCTCCAACTTATTGGGGTGGTGGAAAACAGGCTCATCACAAGCCGCGCCTCCTCGGAGCGGAAGCCAAGGGGAAGCGTGGCCGCCACCCCCTGGGGCGGAGCGGCGCTGCCGCTCATATGTATAACTGACCGCAGCGGCGTGGCATCCTCGTGCCAGGACCATACGTCCGCCGGCTTCCTCGGAACTTCGCCAGCTTCCCGCCAAGGGCGCAGTTCCGTGGCCTAGGGCATCCGCCGCCGTGCCAGCACGGAGTGGGTGCGTTAGGATGCTCCCGTGGTCCCTCTGGGAATCATCATTTTTTATGTACATGTATATATATAGAAAGAAAAACTACGGCCGACCCCCTCCCCCGCGGTCAGCGAGCACCTCTTGAAAACCGCCCCCCCTGAAATTGTTCTCTGGCGGCCTTTTCGGACTCCAGGCGGTCAAGATGGCCTCCAAGACTCCAAGACGGCTTCCAAAGCAGCCAAGACGACAACAAAACGGCTCGAGATGGCCCAAGACAGCTCAAGGGCCTCTCAAAAGAGCCTAAAGACGGCTCAAGATAATCCAAGAGGGCCTCAAGACGACCAAAGAGGCGCCTAAGACGGCCTGGGAGAGTTCCTAGAGGCCTTCCTGGGGAGCCCGAGGGAGCCAAAGCCATTGATTTGTTGTGAAGGTGTTTCATTAATGTTGAGGCTCTCGTCTGTTCGGGTTTTCCGACCGCCCAAGACGGCCCAAGAGGCTTCCGAGAGGTCTCCAAGATAGCTCCAAGGCAGCCCCTGAGGCCGCCAAGAAGGCCGAAGTTGGCCCAAGAGGACCCAAAGGCCGCCCAAGGAGGGCTCCGCTCTAAAAGAGCTGCAAGACGACCAGAGGGGTCGCTTTGGCTCGTGGGCGGTCGGAAAAAACAATACATGCCAGAACCTCAAAACCCGTCAAAATAAAGCATGAGAAATGTCAGCGGTGTTGGCCTCCTCGGGCTCTCCTGGAGGGCCTCTTGGAGACCTCTTGGCTCTTGGGCCGTACTGGAGGCCTCTCGATATGTCGTTAGGCCTTCGTGGGAACCTCATGGCCTTCAGGACGGCTTCCAAGGCAGCCAAGAGAACGCCAAGATGGCCCAAGACGGCTCAAGAGGCTCCCATGACAGCCCCGAGACAGATCAAGAGGCCCCCAAGACAGCCCGGGAGGGCTCCAGAAGGCCCTCATGGAGAGCCCGAGGAGGCCGAAGCCGCCGATGCTCCAAAGGCGTTTGAAAGGCTTGGAGGTTCTCACATGTTGGGGTTCCTGGCCGCACAAGAAGGCTCAAGAAGCCTCAAGTATAGGTCCAAGGCAGCCCAAGAAGGCCCGAAGTCGGCCCAAGAGGACCCGACGATCACCCAAAGGGCCCCCAAGATGGCTCCCAGATGGCCGTGAACCTCCCCGGGAAGGCACCAATGCGGCCTAGAGGGGCCCCCAAGGCGGCCTCCATAGGCGTCAGACGGGCAAAGGAATCCCTAAGACGGGCATAGGGCCCAAAAGGCCCCCAAGAAGCCCCCAATAAGCTTTCAGGAAGCTCCAAGGAGGCCCCCAGAAAGCCCCAAGATGGCCTCAAGAAACCTGTTCCTGCTCGTCCTGATGTTTTCCCACTCCTCCTCCTTCACCTCCTCCTCCTCCTCCTCCTCCTCCTCCTCCTCCTCCTCCTCCGCCTCCTTCTCCTCCTCCTCCTCCCTTTTTTCTCCTCCTCCTCCTCCTCCTCCTCCTCCTCCTCCTCCTCATCCTCATCCTCATCCTCCTCCTCCTCCTCATCCTCCTCCTCCTCATTTGTCTCCTCCGTCTTCTCCTCCTCATCCTCCTCCTCCTCGTCATCATCATCAGCAGCATCAGCATCAGCATCAGCATCAGCATCAGCATAATCATCAGCATCATCATCATCAGCATCATCATCATCAGCATCATCATCATCGTCATCATCATCATCATCACCAGCATCATCATCAGCAGCATCATCACCATCATCACCAGCATCACCATCATCAGCAGCATCAGCAGCATCAGCATCACCATCATCATCAGCATCCTCCTCCTCCTCCTGCTCCTCTTCCTCCTCCTCCTCCTCCCACTCCTTCCTACCGCGCGAACGAAGACGAGGTCGGGATCCTGACCCGCCGACATGCAGACTACTCGTCGGAATTGCGCTGACCATACACTGAGCCTCCTTCCTGCTGCGCGGTTGCACGGGCACGGTGGCGGGTATTGCCGCAGGCAGCTGGATATGTGCATGTATGTGTACATGCACAGACATGTGTATATATATATATATATGTACACATATATATATATATATAGAGACATACATACATATACATATACATCTATTGTAAGGACATGACGGGTTCTGGAAATCATGCACACAAAAAGGTTGTCATCTCTCGGGGCGCATGGTTTACTCCCACCGGCTTCCGCCAGCGGAGCCACCCCCTGTGTTGCTTCCGCCGCCTTCAGCCGCCCTCCGTCGGGGGAGAGATGCCGACTCCTTCGACGCTCGAAGGCGAGGAGACACGCACTACGCTAAGATGCGCTGCGTTGGGAGGGCTCGAGCTCGGGAGGATGGAGCCCCTGCGAGGAGTTCGGGGCCCCCGCGCGCACCTAGCGCATCGGCGCCGCCCGCGGCGGCGGCCGCGGGAGGGAAGCCGTCGGGCGCACTTGGGCGGGGGCCCGGCGGCAGGGCCTCGGGGGGGGGGGGCTGGGGGAGGGAGGAGGAGGAGGAGAGGAGGAGGAGGAGGAGGAGGAGGAGGAGGAGGAGGAGGAGGAGGAAGGGGAGGAGGAGGAGGAGGAAGAGGAGGAGGAGGCGGAGGAGGAGGAGGGAAGGGAGTAGGAGGAGGGGGAGGAAGAGGAGGAGGAGAGAGGAGGAGGAGGAAGGATGGGAAGAAGGAGGAGGATGAGGAGGAGGAGGAGGAGGGGGGCGGAGTGGAGGATGGTGGAGGGCGGAGGAGGAGGAGGGTAGAGGAGCAAGGGGGCAGGGAGAAGGGGGAGGAGGATAGCGGAAAAAGGGGAGGCGGAGGGGGGAGGAGAAGGAAGAGGAGCAAGACGGGAGGGAACGGCTAGGGGGAGGATTGGTAGGAGGAGGGATACAGGGAGGAGGGAGAGAGGTTCGAGAGGTGGGGAGGTGAAGGATCAAAGGATGGGAGGAGGAGGAGGAGGAGGAGGAGGAGGAGGAGGAGGGGGAGGAGCAGGAGGAGGAGGAGGGGGAGGTGGAGAAGCGTTGCGTCAGCAGCGGACACAAACACACACACACACACCTTGCAGACCCCCTCCATCACAGAGAGGGCCAGGACGGGCAGGGGCAACGGGCGGGCCCAAGCGCAACAAGCGCATTTCCCTCGCCAGCTCCGACGGGCACGAGCCCGCAGGCAGCAACAAACAACAACCACAACAACAACAACCATAACAACAACAACAACAACAACAACAACAACAACAACAACAACAACAACAACAACCACAACAACAACAACAACCACAACAACAACAACAACAACAACAACAACAACAACAACAACAACAACAACAGCAACACCAAACAACCACAACCACAACAAACAACCACAACCACAACCACAACCACAACCACAACAACAACAACATAATCATCAACAACAACAACGACGACGACGACGACAACAACAACAACAACCACAACAACAACAACAACACCAACAACAACAACAGCAGCAGCAGCAGCAACAACAACAAACCAACAACAACAACAACAACAACAACAACAACAACAGCAACAACAACAACAACAACAATAGCAACAACAGCAACAATTGGCGACGGTGGAGAGGGGGGGAAGGAGGGGGGGACAGAAGCAAGACGCTACATGAAGGCGACACGCACTTCGCCGCCCGTAACTCGACATCCGCGCCGAGGACACCGCAGGACCTCGCGCGCGCGGGGTCGGGGCGGACCGCCCCACACACACACACACACACACACACACACACACTCACACACACACACACACACACACACACACGCACACACACACCAAAAACGGGAGGCCAAGCCGTCCGATGGCTGCGGGGAGGCGGCGCACACGGAGCGGGGGGGCCGGACACCCGAGCCCCCGAAGGGAGTCTGCGGGTGGCGCATGCCCCTCTCAAAGCTGGGGCGCCTGCAGCACCAGCCCCCGCTGCTCCTCGGGCGGAGGGGGCAGGGTCTGGCACCCGGGGCGCGCTCCCCAGGCCATCGGCTGTGAGTCTGAGAGCGGCGGGGAGGCGTGCCTCCCCTCCCACTGCCAGCGACATGTGGAGCCCCTCTTGGCCCTGCTGCTCCTCCCGGCGACGGTCAGGAAGACAAAAGCAGCCGCAGCACAGCACGCGGAAAGGGGTCTCGGGAGCTGGCTCTGGAACGGCGCTGGCCGAAAGAGTTCCTTCGGGTCTGGCGCGGCACGTTCGCCAAAGCGTGGGGCAACACGTGCGTGAGACGTGTTGAACACGGTACGCGTTGAATGTCAGCACGTGCGTATCGGAGCAGCTAAAGCCCAGGAAGAGCAGCAGCAGCAGCAGCAGCAGCAACCGCAGCAGACCTCCATGCGGAGCAGCCCCAGGAGGGTCAGCAGGCAGACCTTCCCGCGCAAAGGCTCGGCAGATCGACGGGGCCCGTGGCGGTGACCGAGCTCCGATTTCGCGAGGCAGGCGGGGGCAGAACACGCAATAGCGCACATGCAAACTAGAACCACGCGCACTTCGGCCCCCAGGGGAGGCCCAAAAGAAGCCCCCCCGAATGGCCCCCAAGGGCCCCCCCAGAGGACCATCGCGAGTAGCCCGCCCGGCTCCGAAGGTCCCAGGAAAACCGCATGACAAGCCCATGGATTGAGGCCCCAGTGGTCTGGAGAGCTCCCGCGATCATAGAAACTCTCTCTCTCTCGCTCCCTCTCTCTCTCTCTCTCACTTCCTCTCTGGGGGTCGGCGAGATAGCGTAAGCCTCTGGAACAATGAGTGCGCGAACTGAAAACCACGCGCGCGCTTCGCGCGCGCGTGGTTCTACTCGGAGAGCCGTTGTCCACATCCCCACTTCTTGTGTGCCCTTGTGCTACGGTCGGTAACTTTGGATTGCGTGTCGCCCCGGCGGCCCCGGCGACGCGCTATGCCCCGCGAACGGACAGCGCGCCGCTCCGCTCCGCTGGGCGGGAAGCACGGAGAGTCTCGGGAGGTCGAGGCCCGGGGACCGGGATGTAGACAGGGTGCAGCGCCGAAAGGTGGTGGACCAGGGCTGGCGGAGCGACACGCGATCCAACAGTTCCCGACCGCAATCGGGGAGTTACTGTCCACATCCTCACTTCCCATGTGCCCTTCTCTGATGGATTCCGATGCTCTCTGACAACCTGGTGCGACTGGGATGCGGGGCGAGAATCCTTGAACAGAAAGATGTGGAGGATGTCTCGAAGAGAGGAGGACGCCTGTGCTCTCTCCTCGACATCCGCATCCTGCCTTCTCAAGTGTCCTCCCTCCGACTGTTCTTTCTCATCACGTTCTCCCTGTTTTTCCACACAGGACCACGCGCCTCGCGCGCGCTTTAAATTCTCGCGCAGGGCACGGCAACGTCAGAACACATGGTCTTTCCGTAGATGTGTCTCGGCTCCCTGTTAGCTCGGGGACGTGCCATTCGCATCAAAAACCAAGTCAAAAGAGATCGCAAAGCAGATCCGCAATCCCAATCGAGCGGGGTGAAGGCTGATGCTGAACTATGCAGCGCTGTACCGCCCAGGCCGAAACAACGACCCCAAACCACTGTCATTGCACATCCACAGCTGGGGCTACAGATGCACCTGGCCATCGTCAAACACAGGAGGGAGGAAGGGGAAGAGAGGAGAACACCACGCGGCGACTGATACGAGTTTGCCCTCAAAGCTGATCGGGCCCAGGTTGCGCACGCACATTGTGTCATAACCCCTGCCGCAGGGCAAAAACGGCCACTGCAAGACATACAACACAACATGAGATACAGAAGGACAGAGAGAGAGGAGGCGCCAGAGAGGGTGAAGCCAGCGAGATATGGTAAGATGAGAACGCGCGTGCGTAAACCTGTCTCCACGGCAAGTGCCTGAGAAGGTACCCGCACACTTGCGCCACACGAGACGCAGGCGAATGAGCTGGAGCAAAGCCAATGCCCAGCGCCTAGCAGAGAGGCTACGCCAAGTGGGCGAGCGTACAAGTACAGACAAGAGGAGACATCACAGATGTTGAAACGGGTCAAGGGTGTGAGCGGCAACGTCAGAACACAGTGTGGGCATGTCACGACCTCTTACGGGGCGTAAGCAAATTTGCATTATCTCACTACTCGCCCATTCCTCTTCCTCCTCCGTCCCTTCCTTTCCTCCTCCTCTTCCTCCTCCTCCTCCTCCTTCTCCTCCTCCTCCTCCTCCGTTCCCCTGTCATCCGCCACTCCCCGCGTGGCTCCTTGCATGACTGATCAGTGCAACGGGGAGGGCCGCTG